GAACTCATTTTATCAATATAGTGAATTTTTGGATCAGGTCGAGTTGGAATACGATTAGCAGGTACAATATAGACAAAACCTTCAGATTTTTCTAATTGTAATGGTAATATTTTTCCTTTTCCTAATGGAGCTGAAATAACTAAATCACCTTCTGATGTCCATTGAATATTAGTACCAAGACGTTCAAATATTCGATTACCATGAATAGAAATAAGTATTGGAATATCATTGAAATCAAGATGAAATTTTTGTTGATTGAAAAGATTTATCAATGGAATAATATCTACAGAACCATACCAATCATTTGATTGTGTTGGTGAACCAACTGCTAACCAACATTTATCATTTTGAATAGAAAAACTTTGTCCAAAATGTGCATTATTTTGTAAATGTTCTAATGTTAATATAAGACGAGGTTGAGATTCAATAGCATACATATATAATTTTCCTTGATTAGCTGGTGCACTAATTAAAAGAACTGGAGATGATGTTATGTGACTAATACATGATGAAGGAATTATTTGAAGTGAATAACCAAATTTTGATTTTGCATTTTCACCATAGATTGTAAATGATGCATTATTAATTGTTAATTGACGATCAGATCTATGTTGTTTATTTATAGAATCTGAACTAAGAAAAATCCAAACAGCTCCTTGTTGTGGTTGATCATAACCATGTGGTTGTGCATAAGGACTTGTAATAATTAAATCTAATAATTTATCATTATCAAGATGTCCTGTATGTAATTCAAATCCAATAGTATCATGTTCATTAACACCATCAATACGTATAAATGGTTTTATTTGAAGACCATCTTTACTACCAGCAAAAATAAATATAGCACCACGATAACCATATCCATGTGATGGACTACTAATAACAAGATCATTAAAACCATCATTATTCCAATCAAGAGTAGCTAATCCCGTACCAAATCGATCACCATCACAATCAGGTGATATTAATGTTTGATCAGCTATTTGTTCAATAATACTGATATTACCTTCTGGAATAGGAGGTTGGTCTTCTTTTCCATAAATAATAAAAACACGACCACCTTGTGAACAACCAAAATTATAATAATCAGGTGCAGATATAACAAGATCAATTAAACTATCATTATTAAAATCACCAAAAAGTGTTGTATAACCGAATGATGCATAACTTTGATTTGATATGAGACCTGTATGAATTTCATTATATTGTAATGTTGGTAATGATGAATAAGAATGACTAGAAAATGGAAGATAATTTGATGGTTTTGAACGAATATATGTTATTGATTGTTGTTCTTGTTCATATATAATTGAATGAGGTATTGAACAATTTAAATAATATGGATTATTACTTGGTATTTGACATATATCAGTACCTTTTTCATACATAGCTATGATTTGATCCCAATATCGAACTGTTTGATGAGCCATATTTAATAAACCTCCATGATAATATTCATAAAGATGATCAAGTAAAAATGTATTATTATAAGAATATTTTGGATATTCAAAACCAAGAAATAAAGCATCAGCAAATCGTCCAACGAACATTAAATCAGAACATACTTGAACACGTTCAGCAGTTGCATTTGTTTCTAATGGTGAATCATATTCAATAGCATATCTTTTATAAAGTTCTTGTAATTCAATACTTGGCACATACCATTTATTAGTTAAACCTATAGAATAAATAAAATAACATAAAAAAAAAACAAAAACAAAAACAAAAACGCAATTTTACCGATATAAGCAATAGGTAATTCATAATCAATAACACTATCACCACCTGGATCAACACTTGAATGTGCCATTTCTTCATCTCCATTAAAACTTTCCCATGCTGTTGCATCAATAAATCCATTTGGACAACCTGTTAAACTACCATGCCATACAACATCAGCTATTTGATGAGATGCTACACCAAGAAGAAATGCAAGAAATTTTTGTCCTTGTATATTATCTGCTTGTAAAGGTGGTGGATATCGATCACGCATATATTCAATAGCAATCTTCATGAATGGATACCTAAAAGAATTTATTTAGAAAAGAAAAAAAAAAAAAACTTCAATCTTATGATTTTTATTACCAATGTGTATCTTCAGCAACTTGATGTAAAGTACCATGATAACATACACCATCATACATAACATCAGGATAGGGAGATCCACCTTGTAATGCATCTTGATGTTGAAGAGTATAATTTCGATAGATAGGTTGATGTAACCAAAGATCTTGTGCACGATGTGACACTTCGATATGTGTTACAATACCACATCCGAAGACGAAAAATGGTAATGAAAAAACAAAGAAGATAATACTTGTTAACATGAAAATGTTTGTCGAATAAATGTCGTCTGCTATGTTTCACAGATAGTGATTTTATTCTGATAATTTTTTGAAGAATATCAACAGATGACAAAAGCTCCCATGAATAGTCAATTGCATTTGACCATATGTGCTTTATGGAAATCCTAATATATATAATAGAATAGTAATAGTACATTACAGAGATATTTTGTTTGAAATACATACACCCAAGATTCAAATGTAATGATGTATTGACAATATTTTTTTTTCTTTCTTTTCTCTTCACGAACGTATTTGTTGAATTATAGAACCAGTTATAAAACAGTAATGATTGATGTCAGGCGTTGACATTTTTCATAAGAAATCATCATACTTTCGAGATTGGTTTGAGAAAAACTGAACGAAATAAAAGTGTGAATTGATATTATATGTTCATGATGATACTTGTTTTTTTGTATGATTTCTTATTGTTTAATATTTTACAATATCGATATCTTTTTTGAGGAAACTATTACATTTCAAAACTTTAGGTAATCTATTGGTTATCATTTAAATCTGTGCCATAAATAAACGAATCGATTTAGCTTCGATATTTCAATATTGAGAGAAAACAACATGCCATTGAACATCAATATAATTGAGTTTGTTCTAAATGTCAAGTAATATCTCGTTGCATAGACCAAGGATATTAACTGTTGAATGGTTCATTTTAATGAGAAATGCCTTGAATTGCCGTCTGCTTATATATGTGTTTGTATTGATTCTTTATCATACCTGACATTGTCCTTCTTGATAAGGTTAAACGACTCGATAATAAATGTTGTGTCCTTTGATTCCAATCAAGTTTATTCATAAATGATTACTAATGTTTCGTCAAATATAGAATTATCAATAACGATTGAGTCTATTCAATCATGTCACGCTGTATAGAAATATTTGAGTAGCGATCGATCTCTTCAAGATAGAAAATATTAATTTTATAATAAAACTATTAAAAAAACTTGATATAAAAAAAAACAGTAAACTATTCGAACCGTCGGTTGTAATAGAACATTGACAACATGGACGAGCATGCATATTTTTAGATTTTCTTTATATATTTAAAAAAAACACGTTTTGCTTTAATAATGATTTCATTGGGTTTAGAATAAATACTTAAAATGAATTCCTTTTCAATTTCAAATTCAAAATCGATCTAAAATTTTTATGAAATCTATAATAGATCATTAAAAATAATATGTTCATATCGAATTTATCAATTCGACGTAACATATTCATGTTTTGCGTAAAAAGAAAACATTATGTACGACATACAGAGTAGTTAGTGCAGTCAGCCGCTTTAGAAAGAAACAAAGAGACAACGTTAAGATAGTTACTGTAGGTGGTCATTTTTATCTAACACCTATTTGATCTTTCTTTTCTCTGTTAACATGGAATTGAATCTGTAAAATAAATATGTAAATCAGTCAGGTATTGCATGGGTCACATGTGTGAGTGAAATCATAATATATCTTTTTTCATTAATTTAGAACAAAACAAAAAAAGAGGAATAGTTTCTTTATATCTAAAACCGTTTTATTATACTACTCTTGAAAGTATTCGTGTGGATCGGTGTTTTTTTTTATGAGACGCATAGTCATTCACTCAATCACCTACACTCATATCTCACACCCTAAAGTTTTGCGATTGTACGATTTCAATTGCACACTGCTGTAATACGATAGTCAACAGCGATCACATCCTTTTTTTTTGCAACAAGAAATGGCCTCTTTCAATGACACTAACAATATTGGTATACATGTTTGTGAAAGAAGGATACTTTTGAAAAAGTTGTCCAGATTGTCTCATCGCGAAAGTGATTCTAGGAAAAACATTGCTATTCCATATCTAGAACAAAATTAGCTTGTAGAAACAATCTAAGAATTTAATAACGGTGTGTTTTCGCGCGTGAAGAAAGAATGGTTGCGTTGTTCATCGAAAAAAATTAGATCAAAAGATTAAAGATGCACATAATATAAATGTAGTATAAGTACATATCAGATCCTGGTGTAGTGACCCAAATTGTACAACTACATGCGGATTTATGCAAAAAGCATGGATAGAGGATTAACGAACTTACACTGTACCATTTGCCGTTTGCCTTCTCATCTCGAATATCGTTGTATAGCATTTAACTCAAGCACCAGTCAAACAGTGTTCTAAATGATCTCTTGTGTATGGCTCTAGATCAGTTAGTTATAGTCGTAGCCAGATTAATTCACCATTGGAATGTCACTCTCGACGTGCTCTATTTCTACCTATAGAATTTGACCTTTGAGGTAACAAAATATAACGGCGAACCGAGCCTATATATCATTGTATTCTCTCTTATTTGGAATAATTCTGCAAAATAAAAATTCTGTTTCGACAACTTCGATTGGAGTAGAATGAAGCCACATAATGAGATCTATTGAAGCGACGTTGAAATCTGACATGAGATTGCTCTTCACTTTTTCTCACATCTTGACAATGAAAGTCATCAATAATCAAAGTTGAATATCGACATTGTAGTCATTAATTGGGCCCTTGAGGAAGG